AAAAATTTTTTATTTATGACTGCCCTTTTTTTTAATTTTTATTTACATTTAATTTGATAAAAAATGAATTTTTATCAAATATTCTAATGTTAAAATTTTTGATGTTCATATAAAATAGAATATATATTATTTTAAAATTATAAGCAAATGTGGAAGGATACCATCCAAAGTTAAATAAAATGAAAAAAGTAGGCAATAAATATTGTCTCCAGTGACAGAGAATTATCCAATAATCAGGCTTAAAACAAAACGATCGAATAAAAACAAAACTCTTAAACACAAATGTTTCAAAGTGAAAATAAAAGTATTTAAGCAGAATTTATTAATAAATAATGTTAAATAAAAAATCTAAGTCTTGTGTAACCTAAGTATACTTTAGGGAATAGAGGTTTTAACAAATATTTATTATCAAAAACATAAAATTTTTGCTAAAAAGCATCCTTCTTCATTGCTCAGTCTGTAAAAAGTTACGTCCAAAACGAACACCCTTCTGACCTTATTATGTTACTTCTAAATTTGTTTTAATTAATTTATTACCTATTCCACATTTCTGTCATTATTTTTTGCTGTAAAATATTTTACTTAGATTTTTCTCTTGATTATTAAAATTTTTAATTAGTTTAATTTAAATTTTTTTGATCGTAATGAGATGTGACATATTGAATTTATTCTATAATATCTTAATTTAATACAGAATGATATTTTAATTTTAAATTTAGATAAATTTTAAAATTATTTTAACCGTTAAATGTTATTTTGGTTACAGGTAGTTTTTTCTTCAACTCCAATATTAGATTTTAATTTTTTGGTAGATCTAGAGAATTCATCAAACTACTTAAAAGCATTTGAGAATAAAGGATTATGTGAAAATGAAGAGATACAACGAAAGACTCAAGAAGTGACTAAAACAGAAAATGAATATTTAGATGAAAATCAATCTGATTCTAATTTGCTAAATGATTTGGCAGATTTTATAGAAGAAAGTTTAAATAATGGGTATAAAAATGTTGATTATGATTTATATGATTTTTCGTCATCAACCACTGCGGAGAACAATTTGGTGCCACCCAGTTGCACAAGAAGTACACTTATTACTAATATATGTAAAAACCAATGTTGTACATTAGAACAATCGATAGATGACGCAACATGTTTTAAAATTTTAAACAGTAATGAAAAAGATACAGCGGAACATTCTCAAATTAATACATCTTGGAATGATGATACTAATTTATTATTACAAAAAAATCAAAATGATTTAATACAAGAGCAATATGTTAACTCGGAAAGTAACACTTTTTTACAAAAAAATAATAATGTTTTGATTTCATCAAGTCAACAAACTTACAACGCCGGGAATAATAGTATAAATTTACCAAATGCTGTTCAAACAGATGCTTTATTTAATGTTGATATTTTATCTACGATTAATAACCCTAAAAGTAGTTATTCTTTTTATAATGCTTACCAAAATGATAAAAACTTAAAAGGTAAAATGAAAAAATTAAAAACCAAAAAAGTATCTAATATTCAAATAAATGGTAATGAAAAGGCTTTGAAATCTAATAAAAAAATGAAAACTAGTAAAGGAACTCTAAAAAGTCAATTTACAGCTAACGAGGCAGAACTTTATGAAAAATACAAGGAATCCGAAAGGAAATTTAGAATGTTTTTTAAACTTAAAATTAAAAATCGAATGCCGCAATTTATTAAGAAACTTGAAATATCTAATCTTTCCGATGAGTTGAAACAAGAATCAATTCTTGCTCTAAGAAATCTTTCAAGTTTTTTAGATACTATAAATGCAATTTATATTAATACGTGGAAAATTAAAAATAAGGAAGATTTTTTAAATTCATTAAATCTAGCATGTTATCAATTTAGCAAGTATACAGGCGTGTCTCAAAAACTTTTTATTTTTAAATTAATTTGTAAAAATTTACATGAGATTTATGATAGCGGTTTTTGTTGTATTTCTAGTTGTGATTTTTATGAAGTTAATTGGTTAATATTTTCTGTTAAAAGAAGATTCAATTCATTTTACAGTAGACTATTACAATTAAGGAATGATTTTAAAAAAAATGATCAACATTAAAATTTTCAACGGTAATTTGTACTATTTTATAGCATAGTTGCTCATTGAATCTATTCTTTTTAGTAATATATTTTTTTTGTAGTAAAATTGACAATAAAAAAATATTTTTTATATTTAAAATATCGATAATGCATGTAAGCATGGATTATGTTTTAGTAATTAAAAGCCGCAAAGAGCTTAACCTGTGGGCCGATCTTTACAATTTATACGTAAAAAATATTTGAAAATTGGAAATATATAATTTTGCGGTATTAATATTTATTCACAATGAAAAATTCATTTTTTTCATATTTCTAAAATAATTAAATTTATTTTTTACTTCAAACAGCGTAGCAAATAAACAAAAAAAAACTTCATATACAATATTAGTTTTAAAAATCTACATAACTTACATAGGAAAAATGGGGCTTATATATAAAATTTTTAGAATTGTTAACAAACGGGGTTTGATATTCTACAAATACGTCAGATTCTTATACTTATCATAAATTATCGAAAATTTAATAACATTTAACTCGAAAACAAACAACAAATTTTAAAAATAAATTAAAATAATAATTATTAAAGATTTGGTCTTAATGGAATAATATTTTTACATTAAATTTAGTAGTTTTATAGGATCCGATTTTCTCAGTCCCCCGTTAAAAAAAACAATTTCATAAAAGATAATAATTTTCAACAGCATGCTGCTCTCTAAAGATTAATTCTAATAAAAATTGCCTTTTTTTAAGCTCTAGTTACTCCATTTCTTGCTTATATTTACACTTAAGCTCATATTATAAGATTCTACGTGCTGACTATGCACATGCACGCCAGCAATAGGGTCTACAAAATTGTATTTACGACAAACAGTGAAATAGTCATAATCAACTGAGTTAGATAAGCCTCTA